CACTGGGAATGTCTGTGACCAAACTGAAAGACCACAACAATCAGATTATATTCCTGAGAGACAAGTATGTTGATTTCTTTAGTTCTTCTTATGTGTATACGTATGTATAAAGAGTTTCTTCTATAAATTTGAAATTAATGTGTTGCAGTACAAACAAAAGAGAGATACAGAATTAATACCAGAGCAAGATGATCCTCTCTTAATATTTTCCACACTAGATGGTTCCTTGGTTGGTATAAAACAACGTTCGGGAAATGTACTTTGGCGGCAAAGCGATGGTATTGTTCATAGGTATAATTTATAGGATAAAAGTTTTGTCAAAGCAGTATAACCATTTTTAAGCATTTGTTGCAGAACCAATTGTCAAAGTACCAGTTGATCTTGGTAAATCTTCCATGTGAGTATAGTAGAATTTTCTTTATTACACTACTGTTGTAGTAATTTATGTACTATTAAGTTCTGACTTTCTTTCAGGCCCATGTTTTTACCAGATCCAAAGGATGGCTCTTTGTATGTATTTGGAGCAGAAACTGAAGCTCTAAGGAAACTACCATTCACTATACCACAACTTGTGACAAATAGTCCATGTCGTAGCAGTGATGGGATATTATATACTGGTAGAAAAATTGACACTTGGTTTGGCATTGATCCTAGAACTGGTCAAAGAGAACAACTTCTAGGATTTGATAAAGTAAAAAATACTTGTCCTGTAGAAATGCAAAATGCTGTTTTTATGGGACGTACGGAATATAATATCATGATGGTGGATAGTAAGCAGAAGAATCGAAAATGGAATGTTACATTTTATGATTATACTGCTACAAAAATGGAACCTGAAGGAATAGAAAATTATGGTTCGACCAATATATAATTCTTTATAATATATAACATATTAACATAAATGTAACAGCATTTTTATGTTCTAGATCTGGTTCATTTTGCGACGAGTTCCACTGGACGGATTGTCACTGTAGATAGAAGATTAGGAATTATTCTGTGGGAGCTGGATGTACAGAGTCCAGTGATAGCAGTGTACATCGTAAGAGAAGATGGCTTGTTAACAGTTCCTTTTACTAGTGTCGCAGATCAAACTTTAAATCTTCTTCTAGAACGTTTCGCCAACAAACCGAGCGACATTCAGTTATTGTTAGTAATTGATATTTTTATAGTTTTTGTCGGTATTGCTTCATGTGAAATTAATTTATGATGTCTGTTTTTTTTTTGCAGTCCAACGTTATATATCGGTCAACACAGACATGGATTATATGCTTTACCATCTCTTGTAGATTCAACAACAGCTACAATATCGAGTAATATTGGTCGATTGTTGCTCGAAGGTCCATTATCAGTTCCACAATTAGGAAAAAATAACAATGGGAATATTCCTTTGTCTGATTCACATTTTGACAAGACTGATTTTATTGCTGGAAGTGGCTATCAGGCAGTTATAACGTTAGGTAATGACAATGATTGAAAAACATGTATTGTGCTAACATAGATTGAATATTACTTACTGATCAAGTTAATTCATTTGGAAAACAGGTCACTACGAAATACCCGCTGAATATAAATTACAAGATCAACAACCTCTTCAAATTACTGGCCGGTCCGATCCTGTCATTGAAACATTACCTTTTCGGTACTTGAATTCTACGAAACCATCATTGTTCAGCTTACAAAATGACGATAAATCTAACAATAATCCAAATAATGAGTCATGGCGCGAGTTTATGCAGAATACTTACATAATGGGCAAAAATTGGTTCAGTCAACAGGAAAATAAAGGATTAAAGTTAACATTAATCGCATTGATTGGATGTGTAGTAGGAATGTTTTGGTACTTACACGCACAATTTAAGGAGTTTCAACAGTTTTCTCAGGTTCATTTTTTGAATTTTTCTTCATTAGAATATAAATAGCAGTTAGTCATTGGAATTTCTATCATAGGGTTCCCGAGAAAATAGCAATACCAATGATTATTATGGAGCGCGATCAAACACACTCGTAGCTCCAGAGGACATGGGTGAGGGAGTGGTTAAAGTTGGAAAAATAACTTTTGATACCGGACAAGTTCTGGGCAAGGGATGCGAGGGAACTTTTGTATACAAGTAATATAAGACGAAGATACTATGGCTTTTCATTGATTGAGATACACAAAATATGTGGCATTGAAATTTTATATATATTTTTAGAGGCAGTTTCGATGGACGTTCTGTAGCTGTAAAGCGTTTGTTACCGGATTGTTTTACATTTGCTGACCGAGAAGTAGCATTGCTCAGAGAGTCGGACGCGCACGCGAATGTTGTGCGATATTTCTGCACCGAACAAGATAGGATGTTCAGATATATTGCATTAGAACTAGCCGAGGCGACTTTACAAGATTATGTAGCAGGAAAGTACGATAAGAAAAAAATATCCGCAAAAAGTATACTACGACAAGCTACATCAGGATTAGCTCATCTGCATCTCCTTGACATCGGTAAATTTTATGTCTTCTGCTAGAAGAATAAATATATCTATATTGATACAATTGTACAGTATATCGATGTTTTATCTTAATAATATTTTATTTTTCTTTGCGAACGATAGTGCATAGAGACATCAAACCTCACAATGTATTACTATCAGCCCCGGGTCCGCGCGGAGAAGTAAGAGCCATGATATCGGATTTTGGTTTGTGCAAGAAGCTTCAACTAGGTCGCGTGTCTTTTTCACGTAGATCAGGTATAACAGGTACCGATGGTTGGATCGCGCCGGAAATGTTAAATGGAAACAGAACTACTTGTGCTGTGGATATCTTTTCTCTTGGTTGCGTTTTTTATTACGTTCTTTCTGATGGAAAACATCCATTCGGAGATCCATTACGGCGGCAAGCCAACATTCTTTGTAAGATCACACATAATATTTTATTTGCTTCTACTGTTTGTTTATCTTATTGAATGCAAATAATATTACTGACACATTGCTATTTCTCATAATACATCATAGGCGGTGAAAGTGACTTAACGGCCCTTCATGATGGAATCTCTCAAAATGACAAGGAATTAGCATTAGTACTTATAAAAGCAATGATTGCAAATAACCCATCGGAAAGACCACCTGTAATAGCGGTTCATGATCATCCAATATTCTGGGAACCTGCTACAATTCTTGCATTTTTTCAGGTATTTTTATTATTCTATCTATATTATCTCGTACTTTCTTTCTACATTTGGATTGTTAATTGTAATCGTCACACTGATTGTGAGACTCATCTTTTTGCGATTTGTGAAATAGGATGTGAGCGATCGAGTGGAAAGGGAACAAATCAACAGTCCGGCCTTAATTGCACTGGAGTCTGATAGCAAGCGAGTATTACAAGGAGATTGGAGGTTACTCATTGACGTGGAAGTTGCAACTGATCTGCGAAAGTATAGAAGCTACCGGGGTAAAAGCGTTCGAGATTTATTAAGGGCATTACGAAACAAGGTTTGAATACAAAAACAAATTGAAAAGATCGAATATTGACATCGATTGATGGTTTGTTACAGAAACATCACTATAGGGAGCTGAGTCCCCAAGCTCAAGAAAACCTTGGATATATTCCTGACAAATTTGCCGATTATTGGCTCTCTAGATTTCCCCGTTTGCTCTCGTACGTATGGTGTGCTATGCAAGCTTTCCGCGAAGAATCAACGTTAAAGACCTATTATCACGTGGATTACATATTTACAAACATTTGTGAAACGGAATCTTTAGAGATTCAAAATACTCGATCAACAGATTACACGATAGCGCCGAATATCTGGAATGTCCAAGATAATGTCGATTGGAATCCGAATAGGGCAAGGTACAGGGGGGGCCAACGAAGAAAACAAGAGAAGAAAAAACTAGACATACCAGATGCTTGGACGTTACCTTTGAATTAGAGAACCATCTACCACTATCATATGCGATTTTATCATGTAATGTATATACTATCATTAGCGAAGAGATGAACAAACATACTTTTCGACATGTATGTACAATGCGCTCAAGTATACCAACATTGCAATTATCAGTAGGTTTTTTTAAAAAAAAGAATCACGAAAATGAAAATACTTGTAAATAATGCGATACTTGTAAAAAATATTTGTAAAAAAGAGAAAAATAAATTGAAAAAAAAGAACTGGTTGTATTAAATACATGTTACGTTTAAACATATTATCTTGTTGATATAAAGCAACTGGATCTTTGTATGAAACGTTCAAGTTCATTTTTTATTTATGTAACATCATTGTTGTGATTAATGAGATGTGATAACATGTGATAAGATCTTCCAAACCATGATTCTGAATATTAAGCGTGAGTAACATCAAATAATCAAATAATCAAATAATCAAAAAATATATTTTTAATGCAACAAAAAGATAAATGCTGATATTTGTTAGACGAATTGTATGTATAAATGTATACGCACGGATTTTATTTTAAACACTGATACATACATTTATATGTATAATTTTTCATTATCTCATCTGCTTCAAAAACAATCGTTAGCGATATTCGCACCTATTTAACACGCGTAGTTACAAAAATATTTTTCAGGTACACTGAATCTCGTTAGCCGCGAGAACACATCGATGTAACATGTAATAACCGAATGTTTTTCATTCTCGCTCATTAACGTGTGTCTGATATAAATGTATCTACACAGTTGTTCGATTTATCATTCGTTTCGAACTTACAATTAGACTAGAGGGAAGAAAAAAAACAGGAAAAAATATCAACTACCACGAAATTTAAAGCAGTATTGAAGCCACTCTTTTGGTCTTTGTTTCTCAATTTGAAAATATGCAGAAATTATTATACTGCACTCAATATTGCATACTAATTGTCATACTCGATATTTGTAAAGAGTGATAAAAAGAAGAGATATCCGCTAAAAATATTTCGCTTAAACAAAGAATGTTTTGGTTTTTAAAAAAATTAATAAAAAATGTCGATTTATAAAAAGAAACGGACTATATTGCACCGAGGGCTTCAATACAATTTATAAAAATTCCACTGCGTGGAATAATTTTTCTATATTAACACAAAATCTAGCGAGTATAATAACATAGTCATGAATATCAACGACGTGGACATATTTTTTACGTTTGAAGTTTCATCACTTGCGTAATGCACAGAACGGGGCTTACACGTATATAATATGTATTACATGTATATTCTGTCCAAATTAAAGAAGAATTAAAGCACGTGATTGTCACGCGAAATTATGAAAAATTTATCATACTGAATTTAATCAACCATATCAGGGAGACACTTTAGGCTTGTCATCTTGTTCTGCTTTTTTATTTGCGAGCTTCAACTGCCTTTCTTTCCTGTCCCTTCTAACAAATTCAGGATCATTCCAGTACTCGACTTCTCCGCTTGCGTACAATACAAAAATCAGATTGGTCACGGCGAAAACAGCGAAAACAATCCAAAATACGAGTCTCCATTGGGAAAGTGTTTGATCCGGAGTTAATTCGCTAACGATATACGGTGTCAAAATACCGGTAAAAGCACCTACTCCATTCACCAGAGCCATTAAGGTGCCAGAATAGTTTGGACTTAGGTCTAAGGCATTCACTTTCATTCCCGGGTAAAATGTTCCTAGAATAAAAGAAAAGAAAAAAGAAAAAGAAACGAATATAGGTTGTAATCGAATTGGAGGAGAACTTATCGAGTTAAATTAAAAATATACAAGCGTTTGAAGAGCTCACTCTACTCTAATTTCTGATCGGTATACTTCAATTTTTGTTAATAAATTGCTCAATCATCGTTCTTGAACTTAAAATTGATTTTATATAATTCGATTCTACCATGTTGTGACTTCCAGTTTTGAAAGTATTAAAACGTGTTGTTATTCGAAAAATTGAAAAATGACAAGAATCGTTTTTATTATAAGCTCTTTGATTATCTATATACATATATATGTGTATATATACATACCCATCAGTGTCGTGCCAACGGTAAACATGACGACAACAGTTGTTCTATCACATTTGGCATAAGCTGCGCCTATAATGAAAGCTCCTGGCCCGAGCGAAGCGATGGTGGTACCCAATTTACGTACGTTGGTACGTGACATTAGACCACTGGTGATCATCCAATCGGCTAAAAACGATGTCACCAGGCTACAAATCCACATGGTCAAATAGGGCAAAGCAGAAAGGAATCCGTTGTTTTTGATCGAATACTTGAGCACGCTCTTCATATATTTGGGAAGGTCGTTGAGCAAGGTGAAGAAACCCCAATCGTGACCAACTTGCGCCGCCACTAATGCCCAAAGCGGCACAGACTTCAGAACGTGTCTCCATGGTACCGACGGTGGTTTCTTATGCGTATGAGCGTCCATTCTTTCGTGCAGGAACTTCCGTTCTCTTTCAGATATAAACGGATGCGTGTCTGGGTTATTGTAACACGTTACCAGCCATATCAAAAACCAAAGAACGCCGAGAGCGCCGAACACATAGAACACAGCCGGCCATCCCATTGTCGAGTAGTAAAGAATGACACCGGACAAAGAGTTGGCAACCACCGTGCCAAGTTGTGCACCGGCGAATACCAATGAGCCGATCTTCGATCTCTCCTCCGGTGGTGTCCATTGTGCGAGCATTGCGTTCAACGCCGGGAACGTTGTCCCCTCGCAAAGGCCCATCAACACACGCGTGGCAATTAAACCTGCTGCCTCTCCGTATTCCACGACTAATGGTGTAATCAGCGTGAAAACAGCGGTCGCCAATATCCCCAAACCAAGGGAGTATTTCCCACCGAATTTTTCGGATAACATCCCGCCGGGCAAATGTGTTATCACGTAGCCTACGTAAAACGACGACAAGATAATACCCTATTGGAGAAATATACAGAACGTATATTACAATTACATACGTATATGTATAACAAATGTATGTAAGATCAAGATTTTCTATTTACGTTTTATCGTAAGGGCAATTGAAATTAATTGTACCTTTCTTTTTTCTCGATAATCACAAACTCCGGCATATTTCACTTTACGCTTAATACTTTCAAACAACATATTTATAATGAAACGGCTATAAGTGTGAAGCTTGAATTCAATTTATATTAAATATCAACAGGTGTCTCTTAATACTTATGCTCAGGCAGTGTATACATACATACGTGCACATGCGTGCGTATGTATCTTTACCTGCATCGTCTCGCTCCATTCATACTTCTTCGCGTTCGATGGTCTCGTATCTTCATCATTTTGTTCATCATTCAGGCAGGTATTGTCAGCACTTACCGTCACATTTTTATGCACTACCATCTCGGTAATTGTGATCGATAAGCAGACTCTCATCGCGTAAGCATTGAAGAGCGCCAAAAATCCCATTATTGCGAATACCCATCGTTGCGGTATTCTTCCACCTGTGTGCACATAAACACATCTATTACCGGTAATAGCATCAATAAATAAACTCACGCTGCCATGTCGCAAAGAAGAAAGCCCGAGGTTAACAGCGCGGAAGGAATGACGATTAGCAGCGGTGCCTTTCCCCTATTGGCAGCTGTCTAACGAACCGTACAAACTTTATCTAGGTAAAGGTCAGATTCCTTGCACGTACTTCCACTGACTTCAGATATAGCGGATAATTTTGATTTCAACTTCTGCCTATTGAGAAGGTAAACCGCAGACGTTGAACCAACAAAATGGTAGAAGAGGGCAATGCAAGAGGGAACAACGAGAGAGAAATTCGAAAAACGAACGTATCCTTGAAACAAAAGGTCATACTCCGACGTTTAATGATAATTCGCGATCTGTTTTTAATTTTGTACGTGACTATGATCCATAGGGAC